GCTGCTGGCAGGAGTGGAGGGACCCTGCTGGTGATTTCCTAAGCCAGACAGTAGAGGCTTGAAGCTGCTGTCCAGGGTGAGGCGAATTCCAGTCTGGGATCTGCCTCAGCTTCTAGAAGGAGCTTAGCAGTCACCTTTCCCTTGGGCTGCTGTGGAGGCCTAGGAGCAGCTCTGGCTGGGACTGAGGGTTCACGTGGGGGCCACCTGTGGGCAGACAGATGGGGCCTGGATCCTCAGGCAGGAAAGCAGCTGGGTGGAAGGAACAGTTAGAACTCTTGCCCTACAGCCATTTGTGTTGGGCTGATTCTCAGGTCCTGGTGCCTGGGCCTATGATATACACTTTCCTGGTGGTCACCAGTAACAGAAGCATGGGGATGCCAATCCCACAGGGGCAGCCCTCATAGGCGATACACATTTTGATAGCCCTGAAGGCAGTAAATAGCTCCAAGCCTGGGTGCAAGGACATGCAGGACAGACAGCTCCCTCTGAAGTCCACTTTTTTGGGCAAGGGCCCCTTGTCTTTCAAGTCGAAGTACTCTGGTTGGCCCTCACTTGGGGAATTGACCTGGTGACAGCTGACACCTGAAAAACAATCCAAGGGCAAGGATGGCCACATCCTCCAGGTAGGCAGAGGAATATGCAGGTATGGGATAAGACCAGTATGACTCTTCCCTTGCTCACTGGTGGTCATGCACTCCCAGGCCAGCAGGGAAGCCATCCACAGTGCAGCAGCCTCCACCATCCTTCTCTAGTCACCCTGAGCTTTCATGCCTGGGTGCCCATAGGACGACACCCAGTTCTGTGGCAGGTGTGGCAAGCAGTAAGAGTGCCAGCTGGGTGAGTACCAGCTGCGCCACCCTCTTCACAATTGTCCCCAGATGTCATTATGGCCTCTTCCGACAAGCAGTATGGACATGCAGCTGGGCTAGGGGTTGGAGAGAAACTGAAGTGTCCTCCCTAGCCCAGGTTGGCAACTGAGGAAAGGAGCTAAAGGGCTCCCTGCTGTGACCTTGGCAGGCCGGATGAGGTCTGGGGGCCCTTCAAGGAGCCCTGTGTCCAACGAATGCCAGGCCTGGGTCCCTAGTGCCCTCCTGACTATGGAATGCAGTGTGGGGAGTGCTCCTGAGGCCCAGCCTTTGCTGAGGGTGTAGCCCAGGCTGCATAGTTGGGTAGTAAGGCTCAGTCTCCAGGCAAGAGGTGGTCAGTGGGAAGTGACAGGAAGCTGTCAGAGGCTTGGGCTGGACCTCCTGGCTAGCAGTGCACAACTTCTGCTCCTGGGAAAGCCCGCCTCTGGGTGATACCTCACTACCCCTGGAGCTACACAGCTCCTTCTAACAGGTGACACTGCAGCCTCCAGAGGCTACAAAGCACCAGGGGTCAGAGCAGGGCCCACAGATCACTGTGGGACCCATGAAAAAGAGGGCCACTCTGGCTGCCTCCTCCCGGAGCACAGGGCTCAAGGATGGCTTCTGAACAGGACATGGAGGAAGCAGAAGTACTCAGAGCAGCACGCTCCAACCTTCCCTCCACACCTGCAGCTGGGCATCAGCATGCCATCACATAAGGAGGGTGTGGGTACCAGTGCCTGGCCTCCTCCAGGGCCCACAGCCCTTGTTGGGTGAGGGACCTGCCAGTGCAGGGAGTCACCGAGCAAGGTGGGCCTTGCTCCCCAGGGCCAGCACAGGAGGCCTCTCCTTCCTGCTGCCTTTTTTGGTGGCTGAAACCTCAGACTGATCCAAGAGCCAGACAGGCGGCAGACAGCACATATTTTTCACACACAACCTCTTCCTCTGCTAGGCACAAGGAGAGGGAGGGCAGGGCCTGCCCAGACCTGACTCCAGACTGGATTTCAGTGTGTGTGGTCATGCAGGGTTCCACAGGGACCTGGGACCAGGCTGGGATGGTAAGGAAAGCCCCTCACCTGCAACCTGTGTCTCACAGTTCTGGGACTCCTGGAGCTGAAGCCACCAAAGTGTAGAAGGTGAGGAGGCTCACTCACCCCAGCCTGGGCCCCCTTATCCCTGGCATCACAGGAGGACTGGAGCTGAGCTAAGGGATAAAAGGACTCTGCCAGCTTGCTGGGCCTGGTGGGGGGCACATTTGGGGCCCTGAGTGCAGCAGAGGCAGGCAGGACCCATACAGGTTCCTGACAGGCTCTTCAGTCACACACACCCCAATAGGACCAGCCCAGGCTGGCAGGAGGTGGGAGCGCCCTCTTCCCAGCATCACTCTCCCAGCAGGCACCCATCTGTCTGGCTCTTTTTTCTCACAGAGTAGAAGGGGGTGGTACCGTAAGGCTAAGGCGCTATCCTGGCTGTCAATGTCACCTATGGAGGTAAGAAGGGGATATGACGGCCTTGTGAATTGCAGGTTCCCAAGCCCTCTGGACCTCAGCTTCCTCCTTGACAAAATGGAGACAACAGCCCCACTCCAGGGCCTGGTGGAAAGAACCGAAGAAGCTAGCACCAGCCTCCAGCACCTGGCCTCCTTGCCCATGGCCCTGTGCTGTGTCCTGGGTAACACTGAGGGCTCTCCTAAGTCTCTTGGGCCCCACTTGGCCCTCCTACTGCCCTGTGGAGGCTGTGACACAGGTGCAGGGACTGATCCAGGTGCCCTGGTTCAGCCCTCCCCAGGTAGCTGGCAAAGACACAGGAGCAACATTCAGATGTCTCCGAGCTCTGACTCCAGTGGACACAGATGTGGGTGGTGAGCAGTCCCCTGGGGTAATGGGGGCCCAGGAGTAATCACTGACAGGCTCTATCGGTGTGTTGAGAGGTGCCCTGCAGTACAACACACGTGGTCCTCATGGCTCCTGGCAGCAGGAAGCAGTATTTCACGATGACTATCTTACAAGTAGAAAAGCTAAATCATACAGGAAAGTCCAACTCCAGCTGAACACAAATGGTCTCCGCCTCACTGGGTGAGGAACTTCACAGTAGAGAAGTTAAGGTGTAGTCTGAAGAAGCAGACACCTAGAAAGGGAGCAGCAGGCGGCAATGCAGGGGAGTGCTCTCCATTTAGGGGCCAGGGCACTTGGAAGCAGTCCCCTACATGCCATCCACACACACCTTTGAGGCCAGTCTCAGCAGCTGCCCAACCTCAAGCTCAACCTGCAAGTTTCTTACTGAGGATATCATAGGCTGTCCTAAAAGGAAGCAGGTCCAGCGTGAACTAGCTTCAGCTACAACAGGAGCCCAGCAAGGCTTGGGGCACAGGTACATGCTTGTAAGCCCAGCACTCACTTAGCACTGAGGACAGCAGTTTCCAGTTCAGGCATCCCTGAGATACACAGCAAAACCTTGCCTCTGGGGCCAGGGAGATAGCTCAGTGGCATAAGTGCCTGCCTGACAAGTGCAAGGTCCTGAGTTCTATCCCTGGTACCACCCCCCCCCCCAAAAAAAAAAAGACCTTGCCTCTATAAACCAAAGAGAAGTGTGCTGGATATTCTAGGCACGGTGACACTCCAGAAAAGGCACACTTGACACTGGGACCCTAGAGCTCACTTTGCTAGAGTTCTGCTCTACCAAAGCCCAGCTTTCCTCATAGCAGGACATGGGCTCTAGCAGATACAGCAGGCACCACCAGCCCCCACTACAGGTGAACTGAGGTGGGGTGACCCTGCCGCCCAGGACATGTGTCCTGGAGCCCAGAAGAGATGGGTGTGAACAGGATTCTGGCCTTGGGTATGCCAAGTCTGCCCTGACAGGGAGTGGGCTCCCAGCCTAAGCAGACTCCATTTCTGAAGGTTGTTCTGGTCCTGCTGCTGATGCGGCCATAAAGAATCCATCATACTAAGAAGGTACTCCAGGTCACTTGACCAAACATTTATTGAGCACCTACAAGTGCAAGGCACTGTGCTAGGTGCATGGGAAATACAGAGTGAACACAGACGGTCCCTGCCCACGAGGAGCTCACAGTCTAGAGGGAGGTAAAACAACACACATCAGTGCCACAGGCCACACAACACACAAAGACTGTTTCTGGTCAGCACTGGGCAGGGGCTCCAAGGAGGAAAGCTATGTGGGGTTCAATGGGCATCTGGGGAGGGCTCCTCAGTGGCACTTCAGGCATGGACAGATGGGTGTGACAGGAGCCACTGAAGACCACAGGAAAGGAGGTTTCTGGAAGACCCACCTGAGCATGTGGGAGAGCGCTGGGTGGGCCAGTGCACACACACAGGTGACAGGATGTGGAGCACTCAGAGCGGGAGGGTGGGCTAGGAATTGGGAGGGCTCCCCTGGGCTCTGACTGGACTAATAAGCGCTCAAATGGGGGACAGCAGAATCAGTCAGGGTAGAGTTAAGTACCATTGAGGTAAGTGTGGTTTCTCAAAGTGTGGTCCAGGGCCACCATTACAGCATATGTGTGCAAAGTGCTTCACACCAAGCTCCTTAATCCACACCTCAAAGAGCCCAATCATCTGTACCTCCAATGAGTTACCATCTCACCCACAGGTGGCCCCAGTTTGAGAATCAACTGCTGAGAAAGAGAGGGGGTTAAAGATCTGTAAAAAGCAGAAAAGGAATGAAGAAAATCTAGAATGGAAAGAAACGCGGGAAATAAGGTCAATGGTGTATCCAATGTTGTCATTGCCCACAGTGCACACCAAGATTAAGGACTAAGAAAACTTGGCAGTTAGGTAGTCCCTGCTGACTTTTCCTAGACCTATCTGTAAACCTAGCACTCTAAGGGACTGAAGCAGCAGGATCTCCTTTGAGAGCATCCTGGTTAACTTAGTGAGACCTGTCTCCAAAAAAATTTTCTTTTTTGTTTTTTTTTTTTTTTTAGACAGTCTTAATATGCAGTACAGGCAGGTCTTAAACTCACTTATGTAGCCCAGTCTGGCCATGAACTCACAGGGATCCTTCTGCCTCAGCCTTCTGAGTAGTAGGATTATAGGTGTGCACCACCATGCCCAGTGGTCTCAAAATTATTTAAAAAAAAAATATTAAAGGGCTAGGGATGTAGCTCAGAGTATAGGCCTTGGGTTCAACTCCCAGTACTGTTAAAAAGAAAATCAGAAGGGTGTGTGTGTGTGTGTGTGTGTGTGTGTGTGTGTGTGTGTGTGTGTGTGAAAGGTAATGGAGAGGTAGATCATGCAGAAATAGAGGTGAGCAGTTACAATTAAATAAATAAATTACAATTAGGAGATGTAAAGAGAGGGGCTCAGGGACCCCAGAAGGAGGACAGGTGAGGACAGGAAGCACTGATGAGAGGTCAAGACAGGGCAGCTGTGGTCTCCTTGTACACAGCAAGCCCACAATTCTGACCCCATCCCTAGTGACATAGCAAGACTTCCCAACTGGGCCAACTATTGCCCAGAAGGGCTGCAAAGCCTGCTGCTCTCTCTCCTGCTTGGCAGCCCAGGGGTCTCCAACATAGGCTCCCTGATAGCCCGAACAGGTCCTTGGCACTCCCAGAGGTGGCAACCCATGCCCCATCCCACAGCCCCCTCACACAAATGCCAAATGCTGTGCAGCACAGGGTGGCCATGCTGCATGGAAACAGCACACACTACACAGAGTGGCAGGGGATGGAGGCAGGACCATCTCCCACACCCACCAGCAGCAGCAAGGCGAGGAAGGGGCAGCTGAGGACAGCTCATCTTTGATAGCTGCATTTTTAAACATTAAAGTAAACATGATAGATTTCAGAATTGTGAGTTAAGCCTCACACTATAACTTACAAAATAATTAATGGTCCTCTGTATTCTTCCCACTTACTCTTCTTTGCTCACATGTCCAAAAAGAGGTGAACAGGCAGATCTCAGAAATAATACTAAGAATACAAAGCTCCCAGGACTCAGGTCAAGTTCAAACTACTTCCAGAGCCCGGGACACCAGGGAACCCTCAGCCAGGTCGGCTCTTGTTGGTACTGGAGTAGGTACAGCCTGGGAAGCTAGCAGTCTGTCTCCTAAGCTGAAGCCTGGGCAAGGTGGTCAGACACACCACAGGACAGGGGGCTATGACCCAACTCACTTTCCTGGCATGCCTCAAACCTCTGCCTCGACTCTCACAGCCAGCCATAATGGCAAGCTGGCCTGAAGTAATAATGATAACCGCTTCTACTTTATACCGAGGCACCTGGAGAAAACATGATAGAAACACAAGTCTGCCCACACAGGGGGCTCAGATTCATCTTCCTAGGGCCGCAGGGGCCAAAAGAGCCAACAGGACACAGCCAAGCACACTCTGGAATGCCACCCAGGCCCCACACCATGAAGGACAGACAAGCACCAAGTCTACAGCCACTACTCCTAGGTGCAGGAGACACCATCCACAGGGCAGACACCAAATCACTGTGAGCAGCCCAGGAAGAAGACAGGTGTGGAACACAAAGCCCTTTGAAAGCCCAGACGAGAGTACAGATGTCAGGAATGAGCAGGGAACAAACTCACTGACAGAACTTGAGCAACACCAAAACCAAACACTATTAACAGAATTAGTACTCAGAAAAGACTCAGGGAGAGATGTTTACAACACTGAAGGGACAAATACCAGAAAATAGAGGGCTCTGGGGCCCCCATGGAAGCTGCTAATGCTATTTATTGGCTTGGGTCATCTTAAGAGTAGAAAACTTTTTGGCAAAGCTGTACAAACTCCATGTTGGAGCACTTCCCCATGGTTGGGCTCTGCACTAAACTCCTCACCATGCTGCGGTCTTTTCTGGAGTCGGGCTTGGGGAGGCCTCAACCTGTGAGGGTTGCAGCACTAGTTAAGGAGTTCCAAAAGGCCTGGCTGCGCCTGTTGCAGCCCTGAACATACCTGGGCAGGGGTGTGCTGGCCTCAGCTCCTCTCCTGTGGGGTGGAAGGGCAAGGAGGGCAAGACCACTGGGAGATGGCTGGCCCTGATAGTCTAACTTGGCCCTGGTCATGAACAATGGCTAGGCACAAAGTGCCACCTAGTGGCACCATTTGTCCACTCTCACAAAAGGCTCCAAAAAGAGAAGCCCCAGAGGCAAACCAACCCCAATCCAGGGGAGGTGGGCAGGGAGCACATTTCATGTAAGTGGACAGGACATACTCACCTCAAGAAAATATACTTTAAGAGCTACTGCTTTCCTTATGAAAGCAACTCTTTTATTTAGAAAGGCTAACCATATCCATTTGTCAATATCCACTTTAAGGAAAATAGTATTTAAAAACATAAAAATGTAAATACACTAAAGAGTAACTGCTATTAAACAGTTTTGAATAAGCAGAAAACGTATACTTTTCTCTTACAGAAAATGTTAAACCTATAATAGCAGCATAATTTATATATAGAAAAAAGCTGGTTTTGGAAATCCAGGGTTGTTCTCATACACACCTTTTTTCTTTTCTCGATACAGAGCTGTCTTCCTCAGGGGCTTCCTGGCATGTGCAGCCTCACCACTGTCATCAGCGGCCTGAGCTCAGCAGCCTCAGTCCAACACCATAGCAGAGAGTGCATTCAGGTCTTTCATGTACGGGTGGGCCATCAGGATCTGGTCAATTTTCAGCCTCTGCTCAGAGTCAGGGAAGATCTTCAGAAGGGCCTCCCTCAGCTCGCTGGTTTCCGCGGGGGACCTCTGGGAAGGTAGGGGCAGGCTGGCCAGCAGTGGGAGGCGGGGCTGTGGAAGAAGCCAGGGGCCTGGGCTTGTTCCCTGGGTCCGGGCCAGAGGTTGGTGGCTAGCGCTGGCTGGCTGGGTGCCAGGGACCCTGAGTCCGGGGTCAAACATGCCCACCTTTGGCAGGGCGCTGAGCAAGGGCTGCATGTCTCTACGAACAAAGTAAGTCCTGGTGAGTTGGATATGAGATAAACAGCCTTCTAAAGCATTTGCTGCTGGCTCTGACACTCCAGAGGCTGGTCTCTGAGTTCCAAACATGAAGCCAGACTGCCATATGGCAGGGACACAGGCTCCAACTGAGGGACCATGAGAGGCCACAAGTAGCAGCTCTAGCCTGGCAGGTCAGGGACCACTCTCCTCATGAGCTGATCTCCTCCAAAAGCTGCTATCTCAAGACCACAGATCTCCCTCTGTTTCAGTGCTAACCAAGGATACACACAAGATTTTAAAATATACGGACTGGCTGGGCATGGTAGTGCATACCTATAATCCCAGCACTTGGGAAGCTCAAGGTCAGCCTAGACTACATGAAGTCAAGGCCACCCTGAACTACACAGCCAGATCATGTTTCACAAAACAAAAAGAACACAGAACAGTGTCCTACTCTTCTGGAGACCCTCATTGCAGGTAGGGCCTGGCTGACAGGAATTAGAAAAGGGACCTACCCTTTGGGCAGAGAGGAGGCCCTCACAGACCAATGGATTCTCCTGCCTCCCTAAGCATGGGGGAGACTCTAGTGCCCATCCCCTGTGTGAACACAGGCATGTACACAGCCAAGGTGTCTGTATCATTTATAAAAATGCCCAACAGGCTTTGGCTTCCAGCTGAAAAAATGGAATAAATGAGCAATGTTCCCAACTTCAAAAGCCTGATTAACCTGAGCATAGTCATTCTCTGAAAGAAGTGAGAACCAGTTTCCTAGTCAGCAGGCACCTCTATAAAGAGCCACAAGGGAGAAGAAAGAGACAAGCAGGCCCGGTAACCAGAAGAGAATTTTCTATTTGAGGAAAAAGGGGATGGACTGATATTCTCCCAGTGTGGCAGGAAATTAAGTGCTCATCTGTGCATTAAAACTCAAAGACTCGATGGCTCAGAAGAGTAAGTGCTTCCCTGGCAAGCAAAAGGGCCTGAATTCAATCCCTAGTTCCACAAAAAAAAACAAAAACAAACAAACAAACAAAAAAACAAAACCTCAAAGACTCCAAAAGAAAGGGCTCCCAAGATTAGAGAGCTTAAACTGTGTGGTCTGGTCTCTGTAGAAAACACCTCTGTGCAGGAAAAAAAAAAAAAAAGCTACCACCCAGCACCACCCAGCCCAAACCCACAGCCACAAAGGCTGTGCTGTGAAGGCCAAAGAGCAATGGCAAAGTCTCCCAGGCTGCAAAGCGGGGAGCAGGAGGGGCGCAGTCCAGTGGTACAGCACTGGGCTGGCAAGTGAGGGCCTAGGTGCGTTCCCCAGCCAGCACCACTGAAAATATAAAATCCAAAACAACATGAAATGAAACACAATCTGGGACAGTGTGTCTTTCTCCTCCTAGACCTCCAAAACACTCCAGTGCAAATACTGCTGAGGTATACACAGAAAAGGTTTTACAGTCTTCCAGTAAGGCACATAAAAACTGATAAATAATATTTGTTACCAGAGCATTCTGAAAACAAAAGCAACCACCGGCACTTGATAATCACTATTTTCCTTTAAAACACACACATACACACACACACACACACACACACACACACACACACACACACACAAATCTGCCAGGTGTGGCAGCACATGCCTCTAATACCAACATTCTGTGAAACTGAGGCCAAAGGACTTCAAGTTCAAGCCCAACATGGGCAACTTAGTAAGATCCTGTCTCCAAAAAAAGGGTGGGAATGTAGCTCAGTGCAAAGGCCCTGTGTTCAATTCCCAGCACTAAAAAATAAACAACAAAACTCAGCCAGATGATTAACACTTGCAACCCAGCACTTGGGAAGCTGAGTCAGGAGGATAGCAAGTCATGCCAAGCCTGGGCTACACAGAGAGACCCCCGTCTCAAAACGGCCAAAAAACCCCAACTCAAACTTCAACAAAGAAAACCTAAAGTTTAGATTTTGGTGCTAAACTATCAAATAAATTTCTGAAAAATAGCTAATACTGGCTCCTCCGATTAGTGATGGTAGAAAGTGACTGTTAGCTCACCAGGCAGTGATTCTTGAGTAGTAAATAAATGTAAGCACAATGTACAAAAAGCAAACAATGCAGAAAGTGAAGAAAGGCATTCACCCATACAAATTGAGCCTAAACAACATTCACAGGACATGACCACCAGCTCAGAAACTCTTAGGCTTGAAGAAAGTTTAGATCCCTACCTCTCCTAGGATTAAAATAAACAGAATAAAAACTATTTGGTCTTTTCAGTGCTTGCCTGATTGGCTGCCACATATGCTATACTTCACTAAATCTAAGGTTCAAAAAAGTTAAAATGCCATTTTTACTTTGTAGAGATAACACTTGTGCAAAGCACAATGCGTCAGGCTGCAAGGAACACTTAGACACAAGGTGATATGAAGAAATACCTCAGAGAGACCTCCTTCTGAAGAAACTCTTCTAATCGAGGTCCACTTCTTCCCAGAGGGTCATCAGGAACCATAAATATGTCCCCCACAAAGGTGTACTGCAGCAATCTACAACACATACACACACACAAAAATCACAGAGCTAAAGAAAACTTTGTGGCTGTAGGAACCAAAATGTAGCTCAAAGTAGTCACCCAATTTCAAAGTCATGGGTAGTCAAGCAATTCTAAGACACTTACTTGCCTTAGTAGGGAAAAGTCCACACACATATTAAACCATTTTAATTTTCATTTGGACACAGAAAAATTAGTCCAAGAAACTTTTAGTAGTTCTTTCCACATTTTTTATTAGACCTTTAGATGTTTTTCTAGGCTTGGAAAGATTTTTCTAATGTATCTATGGGAAAAAAATTTTAAGACTTTTTGCTTAGGCTATAACAGGTATCTAAGAAAGCTTAATTCTATAATAAAAATGGAATTTCATCCATATGAAAACCCACTGCAAATAACTGTTTTAAAAATGAAAACAAAGGCATGGCGGCACACACCTAAAATCCCAGCAATGGGAGACTGGAAGGAAGATCAAGTTGGAGGCCAGCCTGGACTATGTAATAAACAGCTTATGCCTGACACTAAAGCCATCTCATGCTTTTGTTTTGCGTAACTGGTCAGGTGACACGTGTTAAAGAGAAGTCCTACAATTAGTGCTTAGTGACATACAGGCAGTTTCCAGAAGCCACACATGTTCACAGTGTCACCATAAATGCAAAACTCACTGTAGCACAGCACAACTCTGCACATTTCCAGTACAGCTGATTGTCCTGGACTGTAGAAAGTTCATGACAAATACCAGATGCCAAAAGCAGACGTAGGGGCCGGGGAATAGCTCAGTAGAATAAGCGCTTGCCTGGCAAGTGCAAAGGCCTGAGTTCAATCCCTGGTTCCACAAAAAAAAACAGATGTAATCTCTCCTACCTCCCACCCTAAAGTGAACCCCAATCAGCACACTTCTTTTTTTGGTCCTGTCCTCTTGCCAGAGTCTCATGCTGCAGAAGTGAACTCAAGGCAGTCATGCACTCCATCTTTCAAGCCACAGCTGACGGCAGGGAGGCAGGGGTCTGCCGCATTGCCCACAGTACAGCAGGCACAGTAAGAGCCAGCTGTGTGCAGAGCAGTGCCGTTCATCTGCCACTGTCTCCTGGAAGACACACATGCCACATGCAGCAAGCCACACCCAGCACTCCTGCAAGGGTTCACTCGGACCCTTTGGGCAAGGCTGGCCACAGGCAGCCAGCCAGGGCCATCAGAGTCCTTGGCAACACCCAAGGTACAACAGACAGGCAAACAAAACAAACACAGAAGCTTTCTAACTAAAGACAAGTTAGAAAATATTACCTTTTTGTAATAATTTCTCGCCAAGAGACTGACTCAGTCACAAATTCTCTGAAGTTATCATTTGTTACAATTATGCCACCAGTTTTGTCCGCTAAATGTAGCAAAAACCTATAGTAATACAAGAGAATTTAAAATGAGCAAACAGATACCCCTGGCTTCAAGAAGCTATATTATAAGCAAATACATCCTGTACCTAGGGGGGGAAAAAAAAAAATCAAAGAATTTAACTCAGCCTAGACAGTAGTTTTAAGTCTCTGTCAATTGAAGAGCAACCAGAAATGATATTTATGAAATTAGTGTTTAAAAAACTTTTCTGTACAATCTAGTATTTGAAAATGATTTCAGCTATAACATATACATGTTTCTAGGAAAGTTACATTACCAATAAGCAGTGCTGAGAGCGTATGAGGGCTGGAGCAGACTCACGAATCAGAGGACAGAAGCCACAAAAGTGCCACTCAGCTACCGTTGCCAGGCTACAGGATTCTGGCTCTAGGTTAGCTGTTTGGCACAGTTACCTTGCAATCTCCTTTTAAATTCATACATTCATTTTCTGCTTTGACTTGAGAAGAGATGACAAGATTGTCATTCTGTATTGTTTACTCTAAATTATAGATGTACTCAAAAGCAAGTTACAAAAGGGCACATGGAGATGAAAAAGAAACAATAAGGAGGAATCCTTATTGTGTAATTGCTGGAAGTTATTTTTGCTCACACTGTCCTAATGAGAAATTTGTAAGGGTAATGTAGATTTTATCTCTCAAATTAGGATGACTACATATGTCTGAGACAATGTCGACAAAGCTAATGAAACAAACTAAATCATGAAAGGTACAAAAAACTGCCCATAACTGTAGTGAGTTTTTTTAAATTATCATTTATTTATTTGGTATAGGGTCTCGCTCTGCAGCTCGGAGGCATAGTGATTCTCCTGTCTCAGCCTTCCCAGTAGGATTACAGACATGTGCCACCATGCCCGGTTTCAATGGCCAGCATGGTGCACCCAGGGTTCCTGTGTCGATACAGCATATGGTACTGGGGATTGAACATGGGTCCTTCCACTTGCCAGGCAGGTACTTAGACCACTGAGGTACCTCTGCAGCCCCAGTAGTGAGTTCTTAAATGAAAATTAAAAAAAAAAAAAAAAAAAAAAAATCAATGGGCAGAGTGGCACATGCCTATAATCCCAGCACCCAGGAGGTTGGGGTAGGAGGATTCAGCAAGTTCAAGACCAGACTGGGCTATACACTGAGGTCAAGTCTAGCCTGGCCCATATAGCAAGATCATGTTTCAAAACAAACTAATAAAACCAAAAATCCCCACATAAAAACAAAAACCAACTGTGAGGTGTAGTGATATATGCTTGTAATCCTCTCAGTATTCAGGAAGCTGAGGCAGGAGGATCAGTCTAGGCTACACAGTGAATTCAAAGTCAAGCCTACACTATATAGTGAGACTCTGTCTCAAACAAACACAAAAAACAAACAAGTCAAAACCAAAACTAATACCCCCTACACCTCAAGTTTTATTAGTTTCAGAGGTGTTAGGTCCAGGCCTTGGAAAGTAAATATGATTTGGCTCTGATAACATTTTGTTCACAAATTATCTGTAAGGGCAAGGAATGCAGTAGAAGTGCTGCTCAGGTAGTAAGGCTTCCAAATGGGTGCTTGAACCACAAGTTCTCTAAGACTCACTCAGAGAGCCAAGTAAACCCCGCAGCTGTGTATCTGGCACCTGTGGCTGAGTTCTGCAACGCCAGGAAATGTGAAGGAACCTGCCTTTCCACGGGCACACTCTAAGGCCCGCCCTTGTCCTTAGGCCAACAAGGATGTGGCCTTCTCGCTACTGCCCCACACAATGCCCCCTGGCTCATGGGCTGCTCCACCACACCACCTGACTCTCCCCATCTGACCTGGTCAGGCAAAGGGCTGTGCCAAGGCTCAGACCCACAATGTCCTGAGGTCTTGGGAAGGGAGATTTTTTGGGGGGGTGTCTTTGGACTGGAGAGTGGGGCGTGCTGTTCATCAGCAGATGTGTCCATGGATGAGTGCAGCACCCAAGTGTGCTGGCCGTGGGCCACTGGCAAGGGATCACTGTGCTCCTGCCCACTCTTCCTGCACTGCTCCTGGCTGCACACCCTCTCCTCCACCATGGCCTCTGCGGTGATGTCACTGAAAATGAGCCAAAGAAAGCTTTTTTCTTGAAGTTGTGAGTGCCAGGGATTTTGTCCCAGTGATGGAAAAGCAACTGGACAGGCTGTTGGTGAGAGGTCCCAAGTAGTAAGCACATGTCTGTGGTGCTCCCAAGTCACCTTCGCCTGCACAGCTCTCTTCAAACCAACCACTCACTCTCTAGCTTGAATCACAAGCTGACACTACCTTCAACAGTACTGAGGAGAATGAGGGGAGGAAAGAACCAGCTGCCATTTAGCTGTCTACAGGGACTCCACTCACTACCGCTCACCTCATGAAGAGGAACAGGTGAAGGTCTGTGTGTCACTGGTTAAACTGGAAACATCTTACTGGGTGTGGTGGCACATGCTTATAATCCTACCTATGTGGGAGGCTGAGGCAGGAAGATCACAAATTTGAGGCCAGCTTAGGCAGTAATGAGACACTGTCTCAAAATATCCTGGGAAGGGGAAGGAGTTATGTGTTTAAGTGCCCCATAGTATGCCATCTTACATCACCGATCTGCCATCCCTTCTCTCCTAGACACTATCAGAGGAAGTGGGTGGCACCACCATGTCCCCAGAACCGAAGAGGCTAGTCAGGAAAGGTTTTAGAAAAAAAATTTACAAAGGTGGACTGAATTTTAAGGCATCAGTAACACCAGCACTGATGACCCATCTACCAGTAGAAGAACCAAAACCTCCTTCTCTCGGGGTCAGTCAAGACAGCTTGCACAGTGTGGAGGAAATCCTGAGGCCAGGCATCACATCACAGGCTGAGCAGCTGGCCACACCAGGCCAGGGCAGGGAGATGACTCTGAAAGCTATGCTTACTCCTACTCACCCTTTCTTATTCTTTGGCCTTGTACTAAAAAGACAGGGTCTTGCCCTAACTGGTGTCACATTCCCAGGATCAGTCTACAGAACACCTGAGATGACAGGTGTGTATGAGTGGACCAAGTAGAAAGCCACTTGGGGCTCTACGTGAAGGCAAAACAGGCACAACTTTCAACATGCACCAAAAAGAAGATCTAAATACCTATCTCAAACATGTTTTATTAAAAAACAAAAAGCTCTAATTCAACAGTTTTTGTGATGTACCTACGACCACACAGTAAATACTATTAATAAGCACATAACCTTAACAATCGTGAACTATGAAAATCCTCAAACCCTTTGAGCACATGCCACCCAGGGGAAGACCCTCCCGCCCAACCAACTCTAGAAAGGAAAACCTTTCATACCTGTCATCATGAGATGCAATTCTTTCTCCAAAGACCATCCGGGCAGGAGTTAGAGATAATATTCCAAGCTCCTGGAGCTGGGTTAAGAAGTGCTGTTCTGTTCATGAAATAAGTTGAATACACATATTCAGAAAAAGGCTCTCTTCCCAGATGTATAAATAAATGAAAGTACACCTGAATGCCTGCCCTGGAGTTGTAAACTTTTGTTCTATTGACTCATTGGGAAGAAGAAAAAAATCCAGTAAGGCCTACACTAAAGCAAATGCAATCCATGAATTTACTTTGTCTTGTTTTGTTTTGAGACAGGGTCTTGCTACATAGCTAAGACTGGCCTGGAACTCAGTGATCGTGTGCCTCAGCCTCTGAATATAGGGATCACAGGCATGAACCACCACGCCTGGCTTTACTCTTGGCAATATTCTTAACTATTTTTAGAGTCAGGGTCTTGCTGTGTAATACAGGCTGGCCTTCAACTCAGTTGTGTAGCCCAGGAATATAAAAAGGCTCAACCCACTTGTTTCTTAAAACATAAACCTATGTTTAATGAATTCTGTCATTATGACCTTTTCCAAAGCCATACTCTAAGCAACAGAGGACAGAGAGGGCGACCAGAGTTATGGACAGTGGATAGGCATGGGACATGAGAGAACACCTACAGGTACAGTGGGGGTGAAGCCATTTTGCCAGTCCCCAGAGACATATGCTGCTAACCAGAAGTCCATCATGGTCTCCTCCAGCTGCCAGCTTGACCTTATTACCTTTACAGGTTGGTACAGTGGTGCAAAGGGCCATAGGCACATTTCAAAAACCCAGTAATGAGTAAGAACAGCTCCAACATTGGCTGGACTAAAGCACTGGGAGAGTCTCACTACCAAAAACACGCACTATACAGCATAGGCAGACTCAGACTCGTGCAGGGATCTAGCTGAAAATCAGGTACAGGGAATAGCTCTGCTCTGCTCTTCATGTGCCCTCTGTCAGGACACACATGCACTCCAAACTGAAGGAAGCTGGCAGTTCTCTGAGCACCTCAATAGGGCTGAGCTCAACTGCCACACATCCACCTTTTCTTCCTAGGCGCTGAGGTGTTAGCTGCCTGCACAGCCCTCACGTGTCTTCTTCAAGGGCCTATGACACACACAGTCTGGTCTACCTGGACTACTTCAAGACTGACAATAAGGTCATCTTTTTTGTATGGCTTGCAAGTAAGCCACAAAACTTTATGATCAACAGAAACGGTTAGTGCTATAAATTAGGCTATGAAAAGACAATGCAACCGCCAAACTTAACAACGAGCAAACTTAACAAGTGGACTTTCAAAAATACTATTTCAGTAGCAAAAACCAAGCCTGATAGAAGGCCACAGTTTAATTTTTTAGAAAGTCAAAATTTTGTGTAACACAACTTTCTAAGAACTAACTTTCTAGCCTTTCCCCATCTTTTGTACTGTGACACTCTCTTCAGCAGATTCTACAGAAGTCAAACAGATTTATCACTCTGTTGTTAATGCAGATGGCTATTCTGAGTACCATCTCCCAATCAGAAATCAATTATAAAACATCTGATCAGGAATCTGGAGAAAGCAGCTGGGCTCACCTGTGACATTGGGGTCCCGTCTTGTTCTCCACTGAGGGACAAATACAGTGATGTTTCTGTTGCCAAGCTTCCAAAAATACTCAACTGCAATTGCAATTCCACGACAAGAAAAGAACTTTTTCAGACCATGGCTAGAAGAAAAGAAGTAAAATTTATTTCAGTTTTAAGTATGTTTAGCTTGTAAGTTTTAAAGCAAACCATCAACAGAATGAAGAGACAACCTACAAATGGGAAAAAAATTCTGCCAGCTATTCACCTAAAGATTAATATCTAGAATACTCCAAAAATAAAAAATCAGAGCCCCTCAATGACTCAATCCAAAAGTGGAGGCCAGTGAGATAGCTCAGCAGACTAATCACCTGCTTAGGCAAGAACAGGCACCAAAAAAAAAAAAAACAGAACAGGGACCAGGGTTCGATACCCAGTACCACATGCTGTACTGGCCCCACCCCCAGAAGCACTGAGCTGGCCACCAAGACCAGGTGTGGTGGTGCACGCCTGTAATCCCAGTGCTGGGAAGCCTGAAATCCCTACAAGTCTGAGCTGCATAATGAGACTCTATAACAAATACATTTTTTAAAAAAATCCAAAAGCAGGCATCTGAAAAATGAAGACACTTCTCAGATGAAGAAGGAGAAATAGCAAATGAATACATGAAAAAATGTTCAACAACTCTGGCCATTCAAGAGATGCAAATTAAGACAATGCAGATTCCATCTCACTCCAAAAAAAAAATGGCTATCACCAAGAAATCAACTAGAAACAAATACTATGGAGGCTAGGGGGAGTGGGCACACCCTACCCTTTGCATTGTTGGTGGACGTGTAAACTGGTACAACCATTATGGAAATCAACAGACGTCACATTTAATTCAGTTATTTCTCTACTATGTATCTTCCTAAAAGAATTGAAGACATCATATTATAGTGACACATACATACACACCCATTTTTATACCAACATAATTCAAAATAGTTAAATCTTGGCAATAGCCTATACCTATCAACAGATGAACAGAAAAAGAAAATGTGGTGTTTATACACAATGGAGCACTACTCTACCATAAAGGATAAACTTGAGTCATCTGTGGGAAAATGGATAGATCTTCGGGTCATAACATTAAGTATAGCATATCAGATGCACCAGCTTAAATATCACACAGCTTCTCTTACATGAGAATCCCATTATATAAGTGCAAAATAAAGGACAGTGAGAAATGGCAAGATTGAGCTTTGACAAATGGAACGGAACTCAAAGACAGGAAGAGGAGGTTAGGGAAAGCAGATTAATACATATTATATTTAAGGGTAAGGCCAGGCAAACCGGCGTTGGCCTATAATCCCAGCTCTCTGGCAGGAGGCAGGATTGCCCTGAGTCTTTAGCCAGCCTGAGCTACATAGCAAGATCCTGTCTCAAAAAGTTCCCTGAAGTCAATCAATCAATCAATCAATCAATCAATCAATCAATCAAGGAGAAGGGGATCAAGAAGAATGGGGAAGGAGGTGAGGGAGTTTTTTAAAAAATGATAAATGTCATACGTATGTACCAATTCCTCATGATGAACATAATTATAATGCACTTCAAACATGTACCACCAATAAAAATAAAACTAACAATAAAATGGGAAAAAAATAAAGCATCAGCTTCTCACCATGAAAAGATAAAGGCCACATAAAATAGAACACCTCAGAATACAAACTCTGTACTATTCCTACTTTTGCAAGCATTTAGCACTACAGCCAGATACTTTGCAAAGCAAGGACAGGACCAATTGGAGGAGCTATAATCTTTAATAGTCTTGTTTTTCCTTTTATTTTCTTTGGTCAATTTAACTGCGTATGCTGTTTTGGTAGAAACCAATGAACTTCATAGTATACCTGTTTATAATTGCATTTTTAAGTTTTATTGTTTTAGAGACATTGGAACCCAAGGCCTTTGTACTGAGTTACTTTCCCAGCTCTTTTTTTATTTTTTATTTCAAGGCAGGATCTTGCTTAAGTCTTTAAGTTGTGCAGGTTGGGATCAAACTTGGAATCCTCCTGCCTCACCCTCCCAGAGTACTAGGATTGTGGCGTGTACCACCATGCCCAGCTTCAAGAATTCATTCTCTTTGGGAGAACCCACTACTCCTAAGTTCAATATACTGCTGACAGAGAAACAGCACAGCATCTGTGAAGGCACTGTGCCTTTGCCAGCCCACAGTGCAGGGAAGAATAGACATGATGTGGTTGTCACTACCTCCAGAGCCAAGGCTGCAACTGCCTCAACCCAAGGGGTTTGGGGTAGGAGCATACCCAGTGTCCAGCTTTCTGGAAGAGGGCAGGATTCAAAAGAAACTGGGCTAGAGAGATAGCTCAGAGGTCTAAACACCTGCCTGGCAAGTGCAAGAACCTGGTTTCAATCCCTGGTACCTCATGCCATGCCAGCCACCAAAACCAAGCATGGTGGCACACACCTATAACCTCAGCGCTGAGGAGGCTGAGACAGGAGGATCACTATGAGTCTAAGCTGCATAGCAAGACCCTGAACCAATTAAATAAAAGATTAAAAAATAATTAGAAAGAAATTTGAATGGGTGGGTCCAGGGCAGGTATGTGTTGCAGGAAGCAGAAACCAAGGAGGGAAGGTAAGGAAGAAATAGGCTAGATCAGGGCCAATGGCACAGGCTCTACCCTCCACTGGACTCCTTGGTGACAGCATAGACTCCGCCTACTGTATCACACTCACCAGCCAGGGGTTTTGAAAAACATCTCCTAAAATAAATCTAAATATCTCAAAAAAAAAAAAAAATACTGTCACAGAGATGGAGTAGATATAGACTCCTACTGGGAGGACACACTGGTGTAGGGTGGCAGCTTCCTGCCTGGCCAGTGCCCTGTCCACTGCAGCCTGTGGGTGTTGGCAGTGCCCTCATTCTCACCCTCTAGAACAGGATGCACAAGGACCAGCCAAGGAGATGGCAGATTTGCAAAAGCAGCTATTAGCTCCTCTTACAGAGGCTCCAATCCACCCTCTCAGAGAAGGGGCTGAGGTTTAGCTCAGCCGCACAGCACCTGGCTGGTAAGCATGAGGTCTTGAGTTTGATTCCTGGTATCAAAAAACAAAACAAAACAAAAAAACAAGACTGCAGAAGTTGTCACTCCAGCAGACTCAGGGAAGTAGATACATTCATTCTTGATAAAAATGATGAGTCTTTTGTTCATCTAAAGGCATCTAAACACAGCAAGAATCTAACACATTACATCTGCTATTGGAAAAGAGATTGGGGGTGGGAGGGGAATTTTTAATCTTTAAAAAAGAATAAATCATATATTATTCTAACTGCTTATAATAGTTAAGGTCACCACCAGCCCCAACATGATGACCCAAAATACAACAGCCTCCTAGCTCCTGGGAAAAATCAAAGGGTGCATGTTTTTAGTCTTCAAAAGGATAAATCCTTTAAAAAGCCTTGTCAAACGCCTTGTGTTATTCAACAGAAAAATGTGTACTACCCACATGTCTTTTCCTAAATATTTCTGCTGACATCAGTAACAGATATTGGAAGATGGCCAGGCATGGTGGTACACCTCTGTAGTCCCAGCACTCACGAGGCTGAGGCAAGAAGATGGCAGTGAGTTGCAGCCAACCTGCCTATATAGCAAGTTCAAAACCAGCCTGAACTACACAGCAAGACTCTCAAAAAGACCTGAAAACAGAAAAAAAAGAAAACCAAAAAATATTTTCCATATCATCACAGGCACACAACTCAAGGAAGCATGTCCAAAGCAGAGGACAGGTGACAGCTGATTAAAAAGAAAAGAAGAAAAGAAAAAAAGTCAGCAACCTGGAATCCTGGCACTCTGAGAGACTGACACTGGAGGATCAAAAATTCAAGCCCAGGGCCGGCCAGATAGCTCAGTGGACTAAAGAACCTGCTTGGCAGGAACAGGGACTGGGTTCATTCCCCAGCATGCCATGTTAGGTGCACTAAGAGGACAAGTGAGATTGGGCGTGGTGGTGCCCGCCTGTAATCCCAGGGCTTGGGAGGCTGAACACAGGAGGATCACTACAAGTCTGATTTGTGTAGTTAGACCCTATAGACTCTATACTGAATACAGGAAAAAAAAAAAAAAAAAGGCAAGCCCAGCCTGGATACTTTAACGACTTAGCAAGACACTGTCTCAAAGTTTAAAAATAAGATCATGAAATGTAGCTCAGTGCAAAATCCTGGGCTCAAAGAAGATGAGGCAGTGTGGGGGAATGGAGAATGACCTTTCCGAGTTACCCCAGCAGAGTGATTTCCGCCCATAATATCCCTTATACAAAACACTATGGAGCCTGCTAGAGGAAGATCAGAGTGAGGCTCAGTAAAATGCCACCACTTGGCAAGTGAAGGGGCAGACCTCATCTGCAGGAAAACCACTGACCCAGGCAAGTCAGGTGCTCTTTTGCTGAAGTTTCAGGCTGACAGGGCCCAAATGTTACTCAGCCACACTGCAACGTATAGCCATCCACCGCAAACAATTTCCATGACTCATCCCTTGACTCACTCATGATGGCGGGGAAAACCAACTGAAGATATGCATAGTAGGCAGCACAGGGAAAGGTGTTCCGGAATTTCTCACGGTTCGGATGAGCAGCACACATCAACTCATGCTGGCAGTCACAGAATGAAATCGTCAGCTTCAAGCAGGCCGAGGAGCAGTGAACCTGAGTAGTGCTGGGTGTGGCTACTCCACCCTTAGGTCTTATTGCTTAAGGACTCTGGTTTCCTTTAATTACTTCTCCAACTAGTTGGCTCAAGTGGGTGAGGTTTACTCAGCACAGCTTATGCAACCCAGCATTTAAGTATCCAGTGATGCTCAGGCCTGAAAATTCAACCTCAACCTCTGTGGAGAGCCAGTGAGACTGCCCAAAGGAGAGGCAGGAAAGGGTCAGACCTCTACACAACACCAGACAAGACTTCGAGCCTGTGTAATGCAATCCAAGTTACAGGAACTGTTGCCTCCAGAACTGGTGTGAAGATCAATTTTTAAAAATAAAGTGCAGACCCAGTCCTAGCCCAGGTCCGGTGAGTGTGTGGAGAGTTTCCTGCTACCCTGCGCCGGCGGGACCAG